CCTCCCTCTCCGACCACCTCCTCATCTCCTCCATGATGAACAGCACGCAGGCGCTCGACATGTTCCCGTACTCCTTCAGCACCTCCCTCGTCGCCCGCATCTTCTCCTTCCTCAGCCCCGTCCTCTCCTCCACCTGGTCCAGTATCGCGGGGCCCCCCGGGTGCGCGATCCAGAAGACCGAGTTCCAGTCGTCGATCCCCAGCGGCGACAGCGCCTCCGTCAGGCTTTTCTCTATGTTCTTCGATATCAGCCCCGGTACGTCCTGTCGGTCGGGAGCATTACAGAGTTGGTTAGAAATTAATTTGGTTCGTGGCCGCTAGCTATTTATTTCCAACGGTCGGAAAGTGAAAAATGTGACGTGAGTGTGTTTGGTGTAAATTAGAAAAAGACCCGTTACTTTTATCACGTCCATTGATTTGTTCAGCGGGTGATTGTGGTTCGTTTTCGGTGGAATTGAACCACGTATAGCTACGCGCTAAATAAACCAAATTAAAGAAGTGGTGGTCTCTCTACTACTACTTTTTAATAGCGGAGAGGATCCAAATAAATTAATCGTAGAAAGTCGGGGATATATATATCGATTCCGGATAAATAAAGCTTTAGGGTAATTAAACTTAGTTAGTTCCGTAGCCCTTATTAATTAATTTTACCTTCAGCAGATGGAAAGTCAGCCCGACTTCGCGCAGATGCCCGTTCGATGGCCCTCAGAGGTCGGGAGTATGTCTGCGGACGCCGACACCATCTGAAATATTGGGCGCTCGACGGAGGCGCAGGTCGGCCCCGATAATCAACAGCCGCCGCCCGTCGCCGACACAGCGCCTGCCCGACCATGCGTGTCGAGGTGGGGGTCGGTCGTGCCCTGCGGAACGTTTGACCGCCGGTGATCTCCGAGCAACGACGAGCACGCCGGGCCCCGGGTTGTTCTCCGCGACGGTCCTTCGCCATCCGGAGCATGGTGCCGCGCGCGAAGTCGCCTGCTGGACATCATGAAGCGCGTTGACGGAGCGGCGGAGGCCGGAGGAGTTGGTGAGCTGGTAGTCGGCGCCGGGCATGTCGACGCCGCTGGTGTGCAGAAGTGAGGTGGTGTGATGTGGGATTGCGGGCGGCCCCAGTACCTTGGATGGCGGCGGACGGCGGCGGCTTGCCGATTTCGTTTTCGGGACCTCGACGACGACGATGTCCTGGCGGGCGTCAAGGGAAGGGGACATGTAGGCGCACATGTTGGGGTTTTGGGTTAGGATTTCCTCGGTCAGGTGCATGTAGCGCTTCCGGATCATCGACTTGTCACCTGGGGGGGGGGGGAAAATTTTGAAATTTCTTAGAATTAATCCGCTGACAGCCCATTTTGCTAAATGAGCTATCGAGAAATAAAATCGTTTCTAAAATATCATAGTCGCTTAGATTTGTAGTTTTTATCAAGTAAAAGGCTGCTTAATTCTTCGCTATAATTAATTGTTAGTGGCATTTTAGTGAGGGTCCTAACTGCAAAACTGAAAAAACAAGGAGGCGGAAACATAACTATGATATTTCAGTTTGGACTCATGAACAACATATTCCGCTGTTTTTACGCTCATGCAACAAAACCGGCCGGCATATTTCTAGTTTTTATCAATTTTATTTCTAGTCCTTCGTTAGTTTCGTCAATATATATATATATAGAAACAAAGCTTATGCAAAAATTAGAATAATAAAATAAACTAAAACATCTACACGTGTCGCTTATCTACATGTATAGCATGATATCGAAACTAATTAAGCTTATGCTAAAGATTTCGTATCCGACAAATATGCCAACAAATATACCAACAAACCTGAATCTCTCTTTTTTTTTAAAGACTATACTTTTTTCATTGCATCAATCTATAAATCAATAGACTATATATTATGATTTTAAAAGTCAAAATAATTGTTCGATCACAAGAAAAATAGCGTTGATTCAGTAGACATACGTACATATATACCACAAGTATGATAACTATGGAAAAGATAATCCTTGTGATGAACCGACAGAAACATAGCTTTTAAAACATCACCCTACACAATCTAACTCTTCTCAACAAATTGAGAGATGCAGATAAATGCTGCTGAAAATATGGATAAATTAAACCAGAAAATAAATATATCAAGTATTTCCGAAACACTTACACATCCTCTTGAACTTCTCCTTGAGATCAGTCATGTGCTCGCTCTTGGTGATCCTGAAGTAGTAATCTGGATACTCATCCTGATACACGAAGTTCTTCGGCGTTGCGGTACCGATCGCCAGAACCGTGGCGGGCCCCTCAGCCCTCTGAGCTCTCCTCATCTCGTCCATGCTCTTGGTGGTCATTGCTTCTACTAACAAGAACTCAAACTTAGCAGTAGTCCCTTTGTGCTACTGCAAGTTGCTTAATTTTTTGTTGGTTTTGTAAGTTTTTTGCAAGGGAGAGGAGGGGGTTTATAAAGAGAAGGGTAGGTCTGATGGACGGTTAGATGGGGTGCCACGTAGGTAGATTGCTGTTTGGTGAAGGACTAGGTAGATGTGGAGCCATGTGGACTACCGGTTTCCATTTGGTGGTTGGGGTCCTTGGGGACCGTCGTGGCCACGGTAGCGGTGCACCTCATAATGGGTCGGGTTGATTTGGATCCGACCCGAATACGGTCCCGTTTTGTAAGTCTGAGATTTGGCTTAATTTGATTGGGTAGCAAATCTTCACCATGTTTTGATTTTTTTTTTTTTCACATTTGAGAGTAGAACCATATCTACTTGCATCTCATTCAAAAAGGACAAAAGATTTGTAACCATTTGAATGAGTGGAGGGGGATGTACCACATCACTACCAAGCACAAAATTTATGCTT